TTTAATTTTTAGGTGTTCAAATTTAAAAAATGTGAAGGGGCACAAGCTCTACACTACAGTTGGTGCAGCATGTCGGCATGTTTGACCTTGTCTATCTCCCTGGAGCTCTGGATTAGGGTGTTAATATCTTGTATGAAAATTGTCCGTATGAGTTTGTAACAGAAATCAGGGCTCAATAAAGTACTATTACACCCTATCCCGTGTTATTTTATCTATTTATTGTTTTAGTCAAAGTTTCAGAAGAGAGAATAGAGAAGTGTTTCCTTAAATGGGTGTCATGTGAGTGAAACTGAGAATAGAGACTTCCAATTTGATAGAGAAAGATGCTTTGTCCGAACTATTGCTGTCACACAGGCAACATTAAGTAAGGAACCTGAGGATTCCTGGTGTCTCTCTGTTATTATTGGCCACATACACTCACACTGTGTGCCAGTTCTTAGGTGCACCTAGCTGAAACTAATGCAGTTATTTTGGAGGATCTTATTTATATCAATGAGAGTAGACTGAATAACAGAAACAACTCTGTATAACGCAATACAATTTAACCAGACCACAAACTTCATCCTCCAAGTGTTAATACATTGTACGTCGAATATCTTTGGGTTTGTCATTGTTGGTCGGACAAAATTTAAACACATCACCTTTGTTTCTGGAAAATAATGTTTGACATTTTCAGAATTTTGTTCATAGACAAAACATAAAAAACATATTAATCAAGAATCAGTTGTTTTAATCTTTTCTCCCCCCTTCCATCACCCTATCACATGTCTTCCAGGTTTGCGGGCGTCCCTCCTCCTCTCGGCGTTCTTCATGTTGCTAGGAGCGGCTCTAAGGAGCATCCCACTGACAGACCACTCTCTCAGACGATGGTAAGAGTCCTCTGTAAACATATGGTAGCAGATGGTTCAAGGGGGCTAGTGTGATGATGATCCTTTGATCACTCAAGTTTTGGAAAGGAGGCAGAGAGTGACTCATGATTTTCAGCGCAGTCATAAGTAATTATGACTGCGTAATTTACATAATTTGATTTACTAGGTAGACTTTTCTAACGGACTGCCACTGCCAATTCAGGACCAGCTCTGTACATCAGGTTATGGACAAAAAGAGTTGCTTGCCAAAATTCGCATGAATGTCGGTACCAAATTTCATGGCAATTCATCTAATAGTTGTTGAGACATTTCATTCTGGACTGAAGTGGTGGACAGACAGACAGTCAGACCGACACTGCCATCCATAAGACATGCTGCTAGCATAGTTACAAAGTTTGAGCACCAGGATGGATCAGTACAAGTATAAAATGCAATGGTGACTATTACTGAGGCTTGTAGGGGTGTTATGCTGTATTCAGCTATATTGATTCCAGCCAAGGTCCTTTTCCTTTCTTCAAAGTAGAGACCTGTAACTGGATAGAGGGACATCCAGGAAACATTTGTTTGCCAGAGGACAAGATTCTGAAAGACAGCTCAATACTGTGTGGATCCTTTACTTCTTTTTTTGTGTCCTTGCTGCCAGTTTTCTCCCTTATCAGACAGCACTTCGCTTGAAGACAGGCCATCACTGGAAAACATAAAAAGAATCCCATTATTCTTAGTGTTTCATTGTCAGTTTTACTCATGAGCTCGGTGTGCCACTTTTAGAAAGTACAGAGAGCTCAGAGAAGGTCATTTCAATTATAATTTGCCTTTTAAAAATGTAATTACATTGAATATTTCTGAGTGGTAATCTGTCTAATGATTCCTATTGCACTCCACAATGAGGCAGTATATCATGAAATATCAATACATAGAGGGAATTGTGTTTCCACAGAATGAGTCTCATCACTTTTACTCCATGGATTTGAAGATTTTTAAAATAATTTAGGCTTTCAGAGAGCAGATAAATCAAATTTGTCTCTTTCTCTCTATGTGACATGAGGCCGCGGTAAGGAAGACATTAGTAGAGCGAACAGCTAATGGTACAATGATACGGGCCAAATGTAAGAAAAAGAAAGTATATCAGGAAGAGCAAGTTATAGAATCATGATTTCCCTTGTGATAGTGCCTCCGTTGAAAACGAGTATTTACAGTCTGCTGTGAAATGTCAAGCTTTGCATCCTGGATTTATTGCCTCATCATGTGCTTGTGGCATTCTGTATTTGTGCAGTCCTCACAGCCCATACTAATAGCTTAAAGAGCTCTTTCCACAGCCTTGAATCAGGAGCAACGTCCTCTCACGAGTCCACTTCTACACGCTCATACTATCATGTAGACCGAACACATTGGGCACGTATTCAGGTGTCTTATTTCAGACTGTTAACCTTGCATAGATCGCAAAATTGTGGTCTGGGCTGTGTTTTACAGTGGTTACTTTTATAGGCCACATATAAGGCAGGGGCCTTCCTTTTCACAACGGGAAAAATTCGCTTTTTTCTGGGGAAAATAATTTTATTCCATTGATAAATGTAGAGCATTTTCCAATGCCTGTTCCATAGCTTTAATGATAGCCATCATTTGGGATTTGTCATTGTTTTTAGTTGAATCATCGTGGCCTAAATCATCAGGATCACTGTACTCAGCCTGCATAGTAAAACCACACAATTATGGAGTCTTTTGTAAATGTTGTGGTCCTCCAGAAATCAGTGGAAGAAAATCAAAACCAAACTCTTTCCAGAGTGGGCAAAATATATTTTTTATTGTTATCTTTCAGTGACCCCTTCATACACAGATCAGCCATAACATTACAACCCCCTGGGCCAGGGTGGTCATAATAGTATGCATCCCCATGCCAACAAACTGTGACGCACTGTGTGTTCTGACCCCTTTCTATCAGAACCAGCATTAACTGTTTCAGCAGTTTGAGCTACAGTAGCTTGTCTGTTGGATCGGACCACACGGGCCAGCCTTCACTCCCCACGTGCATCAATGAGCCTTGGCCA